ACAATTTCATTTAGAAAAAAATATTAAAATAATAAATAATAAATAAAATAATAATAGTTGACAATATTACACAAATAAATCACATGTTAAAATTTTAAATAATAGTTAATATATTTAGTTTTATTATATCATCATTAGTAAAACTACTTAATGTATCTAGTCAATATCTTCTTTTTTTTCCCGAAACGATAGAAATCATATATAAGGACACAAATGTGCGAAAAAACAACCATCAGCTGACAACACGCAGCCACCAGCTGAATAAACATGAGAGGACATGACGAAGCCCGCCTAGAAATGACCCTAACAGAGGAATAACCACGCAACAAAAAGGCACAAAGCTGAAAACGACCCCTACAGGGTAATGCCCCAACAGGATAATAAGCTCACACTCGGGCAGACTGAGGCCAAAAACTAACATAAACACCAACACAAACGACTAAACAAGAACAAAAACTAAAAACACGAGAACCAAAAAAAAAAAATACACACTAACAACACAACCTCCCTCAGCAGATACATCCGAAAAGGACAACAGACAAAGCCGATTCCGAGGAGAGCTCCGATGCTCCGATACCACGCCCACCACTGTAGAAGGCCTAGTAAGACGATGACCCAAGCCTAAAAAACAATCCTAGAATCCGGCCAGCACTCCAGCCGCAAAAAGCCACGAACACCACCCCACCGGCTAACACCACTAGCCGATCTGACATCCACCTGAAGCAACCTAACACCACTAGCCTACTCTGGTTTGTCCGTCGGCCTCCCTCAAACTCAAACCGAGAAAGGGAAGAAAGGGGATGAGTGGCTTTCCTGCTCGACCGCTCCGACCCTGCCCGAACGAAGCACCTCCAATCAAACCGGCCCGCAAGGAGAAACCCCGACTCGCCACCCCCGTGTAATCGAAGAGCCGGCGACCAGACCCTTGTGGAAATTAGAAGACCACCAAAGGCAACCCTCCAAATCTGGCCGAGAAGAGGTGCCCCGACCAAAGCCAACTCGAGCGACACAAGCATCATCCACGCTCGACCACACCCAGTCATGCCCCGAAACCACTGGATTCCGGCTACCTTCGAACAGAAACTAATTCTGCCTAGCCCTAACGCAGTGACGACCAGACAGAGGACGGGGGCGTCGCGACCATGGATAAGCGGAAGAGACCGTCCACCGATGATGACAGATGACAGCTGAGGGGCGGATTACCAGCGAGAAGAGACGAACACCAAAAGAGAGAGATTTGGGGGAGGATGGGATTTGGGGCAGCAGGTTTTTGTTTCTGTATCTAATCATTATCTCTTAATTGATAAATTATATTAACTTGAAAAAATAATTTATTTTTGTATATATAAAGAAATAAAACTTAAGAAAAAATTATATTGACAAAAATTAATCACTAACTTGATTACGCCTTATCAATTGGAAGAAAAATTGTTACCTAACCTATTAAAATTTTCTATAAATATTTTATGATGAAAAGTCAATATTTGTTAAAAAATTAATAATATTGTTAGAACTTCAAATATTTTTTCATGTTTTCCTTGAACATATTATCAACATGAATTGTGAAAAATTAGTTTTGTAGTTTATTATAATGGATATAAATGAAATTATTGTAGATAATAATAAAACTATTCAAGTAAAGAATATTTTAGATTATATCAAAATCGATTGATTTGAAAATGTTTATATACAAATGCATAAATTATAAAATCTTTCCAAAAACAATATATAGTAAATGCTCTCATATTTTTTTGTTGCTATTTTTAATAAATGGTTATTTTTGTTATACAGAAATTGAATTGATTGTATATATTCTGTTAGTCATAGGCTAAAAGTGATCAATTTGGGCGACAATGTTCATTAACTTATTGAAAGTGAACATCATTGATATGGTCATAATATGTCATAGTGGTCCAAGTGCTCATCGCCCAATCGGATGACAGGCATAACCGTTCTTCTCTATCGAAATAGCGTCCACAGGAAAGACAATTCCCGGAAGTCGATTTACATGAATTCGACCTCCTTAAATTGATCCCTAAAACTGTAAAGGGCTCGCAAGGCTGGCAAGACAACTTCTCTAAGTCGATGCCCGTAGTCGACTTACACTGAGAAGGCAGGAATCGTATAAGATGCGACGATTCCCAAAATGTTACCAAGCACAACTCCTGAGTTGACCTCTTGATACTTAAGGTCGACTTGGTATGGCTCGACTCACAAGGCTTCCGACGATTCTAGGTACTTGAGTACATATTGATAGGTCTTCGAGATAAATCTTCTTGGGGATAAGGAGGAATATGATATTGACTAAGAAGTGGATAGAATATGAATTGACCAGGGCATTTTGGGTACTTTACATAAGTCGGCTGAGGTATTTTGGGTACTCCAAGTAAGTATTATCTTCTATATAAAGGAGGTGAGATAACTCTGAAACCCCAACTTCATTCTTATTGCTCATTTCATACATTTCTGCTGCTGCTCTCTCAGAGCAGCTTCTCCCTCCCTCTTCTACACACTGACTTGAGCGTCGGAGGCTCTTCACCGGAAATACTTCCGGTGTTGAGTTCCTGCAAGTGTTTGCAGCGACTTGGAGGCGATTTAAAGACGATTCGAACATATCAGAGCTCATAACCACCGATATCATCTAGATATAGGAGGAGACCCATCAATCATGAATTGTAAAATTTGGCCATTCAACTTAAAATTAATATTTCTAATGGAATCCGTTAACATCAGTTATTATTGTTGAGGCAGGGGACGAAAATCTTGAATTGGTGCGCACGAAATTTCAGTTCATTGAAACTAGAGTTGTAAAATATAGGCTATATAGGATGATATAAAAATGTATTATCACGTTTAATCCATCAATTTTTTCTCACGAATAGCAAATGAGTGTGTGGGTTAAATGTAGAATTATGTAAACCATCAATTATATATAGCAAATTCAAGATTGATTTTATCCGTACAATACAACCCCCACCCACTATGTATTATATGGGAAACGCTACGGTCCCGTTCCGTCGAGATTTGTAATCATTAGCTCATGTAACCGTCATATATAGTTAATTGATCTACGGTTACAAACACCGACGGAATAGTTTCGTAACAGGACCGTAGCATTTATTATTGATCTAATACGATCTCATATGTTCGATCGAGAAAATTTGACCCAACTGCTCCACAAGAGTTTTAAACCATCGATCCAATCGCACAAATTCACATACACCTGTAAGAGTGTTGTTAATTAATCAACACCAACTAGAAGTTTCTTAAATTATCTAATATATTTAATATATAATTAAGTTAGGAAATAATTAGTTAAGAGTTAGTAGTTAGTTGTTATAATTAATGCCTATGATGTATATATATATATATATATATATATATATATATATATATGTG